GGGCTTTCCTGCGCAGCCTGGGACACAAGGTCACCTATATGTAGCTGAAGGTGAAATAGCAAAAAACTAACCTACTATGTTCACAACTCACATCAGAATTTTGGAGGCATGGGCAAAACACAGTATTTTAGGAAAAAAAAAAATACTAAGCAGGAGTATTTAACCCAGGCTCCAAGATGAACTTCTGGAAGGTTCGGGAAACTCCTACAAGTGGATGGGAATGCTGTGCGTATGTGCATTTTTCTGGGAGGAGGGGTCACCGCCACCGTGTTTTTCATGGAGTGTATGATCCGAAAAGACTTAATGGCCATTTTTAAAGTGTCCTTTCTATTTTACTGTTTCTTATCAAGTGTTATTTTTAGGATTTGGGGATCCTCTAAAGTCATATGATAGCAATGACATCTCAAAAGGTACTGAAATTTCAACGTTTCATATTTGTTCAGTACCAGGGATGCCAATTGTAGACAACGTTAAGTTCAGACATTTAAATGTAATAGTTTGCCTTTATCTCCTGAATTATCCACTTTACTAATTCAGTGCGTAGGGATATTTTTTAAGGTTAAGTATTTCAAAACCATTCCATTTCACTATCTACAATAAAAAACTGTAGTTTCCTCTTACCAACTGACTCCTTAGTGAATAATGTGGAAATGATACAAGGTACTAAGATTGTATGTGGCATTAATGTAAGGCAAAAATGCTGCCTAAAGCACGTTTTATATAACTGCAAATAAAAATGCTAAAAAACACCTGCCGAATCTTGTATTTTAACCTTCTCCACTTAAAGCAGGAGCCCTCATTATAATCCTGAGTTCCCAACGGGATTGAAAGGCTGACCTTACAGTGGATTTCACTACCCTTCCTTGCAGTCAAACGGCCTCCTGTGTGAGGTGCTTGCACATCATATACCCTTGGAAGGAAGGGGATAGGCAGAAGGGAGAACTATCAGATGACTGGCTTCAAGTTCAAATTCTTTATGGATGGCCTGAGACTGGTCAGCTTTCCACTGCAAGTAACACACAAGGTTTACTTTCTTTCCTAACTTTCACGCTGCCAGAATACACACGTACTCTTACTTTCTTAGGAGAAAATGTGTCATTTGATTTCCTTCCAGTTTATGTATTCGTGCCAACGACTAAAATGCTTAAAGAACCAAAATGAATTACTACCCAGAAATGGTGGTCAAAGTTCCAGATTTTGATCAATAAAATTGCTCATCTACTCACAAATTAATCTTCAGCCAGTAAAGTTACACGTTTCTGAGGTGACGGGCACACCTGCACCGTTAAGCATTTATTTCACTTGTTTAAGCAATCTTCAAAAGTATATAAATATTTATAAAAGCAAGCCTACTATTTTCACTCACATATAATTTTCTTTTTGCAGCAAAACCCAACTAATTCTTCTACAATTCATAAGCATCCTGAAGGCATGATCTGTATCCTTGACCACTTCATATCTTACGAGCACCAGCAAAATGCACTGCACATTATGGCTGTTTTATAATATGTTCCAAGTTGAATTTGATTAATTCAGATCATACTCATTTCAAATTTACAATGGGGCTCAATTTTCAATTTTTTCTGTATCATTCATAAAAAAAAAAAATTGCAAAGCTAATTAACAGGCCAAAAAAAGGGGCAATTTCAGTTACTGAGCAGATCTTTTTTGAGAACTTCAGAAGCAATATCCATTCCCAATTAATGTCTTCATTATAAACCACAACCTCACCCAGCAATGCAACCAACTCAGATTTGGTTTAGCCTGCGTATCCACAACAAGTAGCATTTCTCCCCTATTTACTCTAGTCTCCCTGAAATTAGTCCAAGTTGGGGATGTTTGACTACATTTTCTGATCTCTATCGAGTAACCACTCACAGCCTCCTCTAACTTTCCATTTTCTTTTGTTTGTATCATCAGCCTGTGAAACTGGAGATCGCTGCCAAACATAAAGTGGGGAAGTGTGAGATATGCTTAAAATATGAGTCACAGTATATTTGGGGATTTAGGTTTCTTTTTTTTTTTTTTCCCTCAAGCTATCAGCAGATCAAATCCTCCTTCCCTGTCAAGCCTTCCTCTATGCAGAAGATCTGAAATTTGCTAAAATAGGTCTGTCTCTGTAGTGATGATGGGTGAGAAGATCAGCCATGAACACGGTTAGGATGTACTGTAGAACCTCCCTTTCATTCCAGAGCCACTCTGGCTGAGGTGTCCCAGTGAGGACGTGGTATGGCAAGATACATTAAATGTGAAGGTTATTCCCTTAGTGAATCACCAAGTCTATATGCGTATTTTTATAATGAGATAACACAGCATGTTGCCTAGGTTAGTAACTCCCATTTGTGGAAGGCCAGCCAACCTAAGAAAGCTTACTAAATTCACATGGCCCTATCTGACAGCACGGAGACATTCAGCAATAGTCTCTCTCTCTCTCACATACACACATACACACCAGTCAACGAATTCTTTTTTTTTTTTAATTTCTTTTTCTTTCCCCCCAACCAACCAACTCTTAAAGCTGGTCTAAATTCTCTGCTTATCAACTCCTCCACTTATGGGGTGGGAAGGGACTCAAGACATCTTCTTTAGCAAAGCCAGCATTCAAGATTATCCCCTCTTCCCCTACTTTTTACCCAGACTGAAGGGCTCAGCAGAATGTGTTAGGTTGGTTTTGACACTGTCCTTGACACGGGGAAAAAAAAAAAAAAAATGAAGCCCTCTGTATCATACTTGTCTGTGTGATGCCTAAAAATTTTCGGACAGGCAATAAGAAAAATAGCCCTCAAAAGGAAATCCCTTGGAACTTTACCTCATATATTTAGCCCTAAAAGAACTTCGTTCATCCTGGAAAAGAAGTCACCTAAAAACGCCATATGTTTTAAAAAGCAAGTATGAGGAAATGTAAGTCTACTATAAAAAAAAAGAAAAAAAAACACAAACGATATTCAATACTGAAGAGCAGTGTGATCAGACAGATTGAGTATGTATTTTTTTCTTTTTACTATCTCCAACCAAAGCTCTGCTATATTTAAGATTGTCCCCCTAATAATACATTGTCATTTTCCAATGTACTTGAGGTCTGTTAAATTCAAGGGGACTCACAGTATTATTAAGGCTGGAGAGCTCCAGGAGTGAGGCAAAAAGAATGGGCAGTCATTTGAATCACTGAGTGACAGGCTGGGATAGCTCCCTGTATACATTAATAAATTAGAATTTTAATTGTGTCTCTGTCTGCAGGAGATGCCCCAGCACTTTAATATGTACCAACAATTGGCTATGTTATGGAATCTGCAATGTGGCCTCCACTGCTGACCTCTGAAACACAATTCCCAGTCTGACTACGTAAACTGTTCGGTTTGATCCTTTCAACTTATTTGAATCCTGACAAATAAGCTCACAGCTAAAAGGTCAACACAGTCATATTTCATCTTCCAGAGCTGTTCTTAAGACATCTGCACAACAAAGCACTTCTTATAGCACCTGACACAGGACCTCCATGGCACTGTACCTCATTAAAAATGGCCCCAGCACTCAAACACGTTAAAAGGCATACGGACCGGTGATGGTGTACCAAACAACTGTTTTCGGAAGTGTTAGTAAACAATATACATTGTCATTCCACTGTCCCAGTAAAGTGTCAGTATTGTGCTGAACATTCCCTGGAGAGGGACAGTTTCCCAAGTAGCTGTAGAGGGACTAGAACTTGGTGCTCAAGATCTAGGATTGTTTGGCAAGATAATCTGGATATTGATATTGGTTCACCCTGACCTGTGACAAATCAACACAAGCTAGAAGTTGAGCTGACCTTGTGATCAAATTAACTGGCACGAAGTTTTACCCATCAATTACCATTTACTCATTCTGTTACAAAATTTCTAGTGCGAGAAACTTGTCTCCCATTTTGGGGATGCTCACCCTCAGCTATGAAGGTAGGTGAGCCACCTAACAGCTACATGTGTCCACCCTTGGATATAAGCATGAAACCACTAAGTTTCTTCCAAATTTCTATTACAATTTTAGGCTCTAAGTTGAAAACCCAAATTAAATTTTTATGAACTCACTCTTTCTTCTACTCTACTACACCCCGCCCTCAATATGTCTGAAATGAGAAGTCACTAAAACAAGCTTTTCTCAGTATCTTTACATAAACATTGTTCTTATTTTACACTAATGGTTCACAAAACATTCTGAAAACCTTCACTGAAGAACAAGGTATTTATTATATTTATCACCAGGCATGATATTCACTGTATCATAGCCTCCTCAGCTCCTATAAAGCAGTTTCTCAATTCCATTTTGGGCTGGATATTTCTTTGTTGGGAGGTTTTACTGAGCATTGTAGGGTGGTTAGCAGCATCCCTGGCCTCTACCTATCAGCTGTCAATGGTACCTCCATCCTCTAGTGTGATAATCAAAAATTGCCAAATGTCCCTTGGAGCACAGAATTGCCCCCAGTTGAGAACCACTGCAATAAAATGTGTGTGTGTTCCATTTCTACACTCACCATGAGAGAATGAGGTGACATACTTGAGTACTCTGACCTTTTTTTCTCATTGACAACCTACACTGCCTGTTAAGTAACCCAATACCTGCAACCACTCATTCTCCTATTGTTGTTGTTGTTAGGTGCTGCTGAGTCGATTCCGACTCATAATGACCCCACAGGACAGAGTAGAACTGCCCCACAAGGTTTCCAAGGAGCAGCTGGTAGATTCGAACCGCCAACCTTTTGGTTGGCAGTCAAACTTTTAATCACTGCGCCACCAGGGCTCCTTATTTTCCTATTACATTGTCTAATTAGTAAATCTTCTTACTCCCAACAACAAAACGTTTGGTCAAACAGACATTTTCCCCAAAATGTCATGCTCTGCTGGTAAACTAAAAGTGTACCTTCTGCAGAAGAGTCTCTTGTATGATTTCAATCCTCAACAATTCACTTTTGAATTACTTCTCAGCTACCCCAAAGTGTATCATGGTCATTTAAAAAAAAGAATTGGTACCTGAAGGGCTGGTTGTTTGTCATTCCTCTTGGGGGATTTTAATCCACTAACTTGCTGCTGCTGCTGCTGCTGCTGCTGTTGTTGCTGCTGCTGCTGCTGAAGAAGGAGCTGTCTTGCCACTTGAAGTGCCTGGAAGGAAAAACAAAGAAAACCATTTGTGTTACTACAAAGGCTGAGGGGCCTCGTTCAAAAAAAGGATTCCAGGATGTACACTTCAGGATTGGATCCTGACTTTCCCATTTCCAGGCAAACAAAACTTCCCACCAGTCACAGTTGGACAACTTTCCAGAGTTTGTTTACATTTTTCTTAGATTTGGCCGATTTCATCCACAGTGCTGTGGGCACAGCAACTCATCTAAGCAGATACTATCTTCCTACCAAAAATCTGACACAAAACAAGTGTGAGTAAGTGGAACTTTGAGGAAGGATGGCAAGAGAGGCCGGGGGGACCTGGGGAGCTTGAGTTGAAAGGAACACTTACTCCATCTAAGTCCAAATAAAGAGGAAGAACTAAGAGGTGGACCACAGTTAAAGCATTACACTATGGAGAAGATCATTTGGGAAGAAAGAGCCAAACAGATGATACATACCTTGGATAACATCAATGGACTATGTAAGAGAAAATGTTAGCAAATATGATCTCTGGTCATCTTAAAGAGCATGTTATGCAACTTTGAACGAAACTCGTTATGTCCACTACAAATGACTCTTTCAAGTTTATAACATAGGTTGGTTGTTTAAAGGTAGAAGCTGGGGAGGTGGTATGAATTGGAGCTAAAGCAAAAGGAAAACAGGAGCGTCCTCCAAAGTGAAGAACAGATAACTGATCAAACTTCTTGAAAAGTTCTAGTAGAAAAGAAAAAAAAAGTGCCATCAATGATCCCTCGTGAAGACTGTCACTGTCAAAGAATTGACCAAAAATAATGGCTAGCTACCTTACCAAAGAGGGCAACAGGATTAGCAGGAGAATAATGAAATTTTCTGTAGAAAATCAGATGAAAAGTTAGGTTTTCTTGAGTCCACTCACCTGACAATCAAGAACGTACACATAGAAGAGGTGTCAAGAATGCTTATTAAATGATGTATTTATAGTCTAGAGACAAAATGAAGATTTCTTGGGGGTTATATCGATACCAATTTCTATATGGTAGCTAATTATGTGTGCCCCAATCAAAGATGCACACACAGATGTGGTCAACAGATCAAAAGAATCAAATATTGTAGCCTTAGAATGTGCCCATAATGGACTCATGATGGTTGTCTGGTCTTCAAAGGGGAACAGGGGCTTCATTTATGTAAGAAAACAAAAAACGTGCATAGTTGCAAGAAACCTTACAGTGACCGTGGTGCAGTGGAGGAAAGGAAAGATGGCCCGGGATTGCTGTGCATTGAACTCAGGAAAAAGGGAAAATAGAGTGGTCAACAGGATTATTGTTCACGAGAGGGGACCTAGAAATGTCGAATCGGCAACAGCAGTACTTCTCCTAAAAGGGCAAGCTCATTAAACCAGGCTCATAACCGTACTATTGTAGCAACGAATATTTTTAAGACACTTTGTTAGGTTGAGCGGTGCCTTTGTGTTTAGGACGCGTGAAGAAAGACAATGAAACAGAAGCACAGATAAACGAGTGACAGAGAAGACTTCGGGAAAGGTGGAACCCTCCTATCCCACCTCCCTGCCCCACCCACCTTCCTTCTCCCAGGGAGGCCTTCTGCCTACTGAACTCACCACAACCATCCCTTCAGATGTAATGCACAGGCTATTTCGTCTGTGAAGGGAGAGACATGTTCGAGAGAGCCAGCCTGGAAGAGCCTCGAGAAAAGGGGCTGGCTGAGAGGGGCATCTGGAAGCCAAGACGCCTGGGAGAGTTGCCTGAGACTCCAGCCGGCTGTCTCAGTGGAGAATTCACCATCACTGGACTCCGGGTTTCCTTGTCTCCTTGGAGACGCTCAGTACATGCGTAGGTGTAAAAGTGGGCAGAGCGAAGATTTCATTTATATCATGTAAGAAAAATAGTCCCCTTTGCGAGGTGCCTGCAGGAGCAAAAGCCTCTCCTCCTACTATATATGTTCCCTTAGCTATTTCACATGAAGGTTTTATGGCTTTTTAATGCAGGAAAGGGAACTGTTATATATTTTAAGTGCCACCGTCAGAGTTCCCAGAGTAATGGACTGATCAGCAAGGAAGGGTTTGGCTGCTAGCTAGAAAGGCAGACAGACAGCGGGGATGTAGTTGACAGCGACAGGATGATGCAAAGAAAGATACTATGGGGAAGAGAGACGACATATATTTAATACTAAAATAGAGCAAGGCAGAAACAGGCAGAAGATGTTGAGGAAGTTGTTTGAACACAAGGGAAGTTTTAGTCAGACCACTCAAGAAAGATGAATACAAGGCAAAGATGTGCAAACTGACCTACAATTTTCTGCCCCAAAATGAATGCAAACTGGTAAGATAACTTCAAATATTTGGGATGGAGAGATAATACTAGTGTAAAGAATTATTCATTCTGATATGAATTGTTATAAATTATTCCATAATAATTTACTGGCCTTATCATGAGTATGGTAACAAAACTGGAAGAAAGTGTTACCAAGAATATAGAGAGAGAGGAAAAAAAAAAAGAGTGATCATCTAACATCTCAGCAAGAGTTTTAAAACTTGATTTATTAGAATTTATAAAATGCTTTGAAACCAAACACTGAAAGGTATTTTCTTTTCTAATTTCCATGACATATAAATCACTGTAATCTAGATTTTAAGTTGTCATTAAAAACAAAACAAAAAAATAAATAAAAAAGAAGAGAAAGGAATGCTTCTTAGTGTACAAGACTATGGATTCAGGTATTGTAACACAAATCGCTGGTATCTAGGATTTGGAGAAAGTCTAAAATCGTTATGGTCATATTCAGTGTTGGTCACTGGAAAATCTGGAATGACTAATGGGATTCCTTCCGGAAATTCCTCCAGAAACCTATGTTCACTATGTGTTTCTCATACATGTTTACGTGATAGCTTTTTTTTAACCTGTGACATGCATCGAAATCAGATTCACGTCTCTTTCATCTCAGACTTCACTGCCTGAACCTCAGAGATTATCTTTGTTCCAATAAAACTGAGGAGTGAGGATGGATTTTTCTTATTTTTATAACAGTATCGCAATCACATTTGGAGAAAGGTTCCTGAACATATCCTATCTGAAGAGAAATTGGATTCTTTGGACATATACTAATAAGGTGTGCAAATATGGGTTTGCGTGTTTGAGTGTGGGGTGGGGTGAGGGCATATGAGAATATGAATAAATGAAAGAAGTTCTCTTTTAAAAAGGATCAACTTTGACTCAAATTCCATACCAACTGCTAATGTAAATGACCTAGAAGGACCAATCCCATCTCTGGAGACATTTTACTCTTGGTGGTGGTTCCTGGGCTGGGTTGAGTCAACCCATCTTTATAACAGATGTGACAATTGTCTGGTACTTGCCGTATTTGAGTGCTAGGCTGGGGTTACAGTAAAGACAAGGTTTGAGGGCGTTATAGAGCAGAGGTGGCTGATAAAACCAGCTCTATTGAACACACTCACATTTATTTTCCTTCAGCAAGCTAAAACAAATGTGAGCTAACAGGAGAAGGAGGCCCTGAGTGGTGGGAACGGTTAACACAGTTCACTACCAACTGAAAGGTTTGAGTCCAACCAGAGGTACCTTGGAAGAAAAGGCCTGGTGATTTACTTCTGAAAAATCAGAAACCCTACGGAGCACAGTTCTGCTCTGACACACATGGGGTCACCAGGAGTCGGAACTGACTCGGCGGCAACTGGTCTGGTTAACGGGGAAGGGCTGGAAGGCATGCACTACCTCCATCATGGATGAGCTGGTCTCCCTCTCTGCCTCGGCTGCCCTGTGTGTCCCACTGGAGGTCATCTTATGGGGAGCATGCCATGGTCCACACCAGCTCTGTGTCCTCAGAGAGAGCCAAGAGGACAAATGCTTGGTTGCCAGTGAGGCAGGCCAGGCTCCTGTGCTAACAGGATCTGGACATTTTTAACACACCTTCTGTTTGATTGGTTCATGATTACTTCATTCTCATCAGGCCTTCATATTCCTTGTAAACAAGTGCCATTTGTTGTTTACAAATTAGGTTTTATATTAACATGTTTATGACTTTTGAGCTACTTACATGTTAAGTTCATAGCAGGTGTTTTACCTTTCAGTGGCCAGGTACCCCTCTGTTTTGCATGTCTATCAGGATAGCCAATGCTCAAAAACATGTTTACCATATTTTAAGAAACATCAAAAAGTTTCTACAAAATATGGCTTGAGGAAGCACACACACATAAAGTAAGCTAGTAGATGGGGAAAATCTTTATAAAATTTCTCACATATCATATTTGGTGGCATAGCGATTAAATGATATGGCTGCTAACCAAAAGGTTGGCAGTTCAAATCCACCAGCTGCGCCCTGGAAACACTATGGGGTAGTTCTACTCTGTCCTCTAGGGTCGCTATGAGTTGGAATCGGCTTAACAGCAACATGTTTGGTTTGGTTTTTATCATACTTGTTGACGAGGCTTGAGATAAGGATTAATAATTGGAGGTCTTCAAAAAATATGCCTAACTGGAATGTCTTAGGTCACGGATCAGCGAACTACTGTGACCTTGAACCAAATCCACCCCATCACCTGTTTTTGTTCAGCCAGTGAGATAACAATAGTGTTTACTTTTATAAATAGTTGGGGGAAGAAATTTTAAAAAAGAACAGTATCTTGTGACATGTGAAAATTAAATGGAACTCAGATTTCGGTGTCCACAAATAAAGGTTTATTGGAACACAGCCATGCTCACTCACTCACATACTATCTATGGCTGCCTTCATAAGTTCTTGAGAGAGAGACTGTGTTGGCTTGTAAAGCCTAAAATACTTCCTAGGTGGCCCTTTACAGGAAGAGTTTGCCAAGCCCTGTCTTAAGTTGCTATCTGTATTCTGAGATCCTCAGTGATTCCCCCGGACACGACTTTACATCAACAAATCTTTTCAAGCAGTTCCTCATAACAATTTTAGAATTTAACTAAGAAGCAAGGGCCTAAAAGGTCCAACTGCTTCATTACTTGTTCTTGAAGATCAAACTC